TATAAAACCGGTATGATAAAAAACGAATTGTACTGTACTAATTTGCTTAGAATTTTCAAATTTTGTCAGTTGATGCATTTTGGGTCCTCAAAGTATGTCAACTGAAAAGTAGGTCACTGTGACCTACTTTTGAAATTTTATGTTTATAATTAAATATTCCGGGTACTAATTGGCTTAGAATCATCAAACTTTGTCAGTTGTTGCATCTTGGGTCCTCAGAGTATGTCAACTGAAAAGTAGCACTAGGTCAACATGACCTACTTTTGAAATTTTATGGCTTTATATAAATATTTCAAGTACTATTTGGCTTAGATTTATCAAACTTAGTTGATGCATCTTGGGTCCTTGGAGAATGACAAGTGATAAGTAGGTCCCCTCTACCTACTCTCAGGTACTAATTGACTTAGAATCATCTTGGGTTCTCAGAGTGTTTTATCTAAAATGAAGGTCTTGATGACCTACTTTTGGAATTTCAAGGCTTTATTTAAATATACAGAATACCAAGAGGCTTCAAATAGAAATGATTAGAAGTGATATTGGTTGTACAATTTATCAGAAGAGCGATTCAAGGCCCTTGGGCCTCTTGTTAAAAAGAGTATTCTGATGAAAAAACCACTGGGCCAGAAGAGATGAAAATTATGTAAGCTTCTAGAGGTGCTGTAGATCCTAAATTTAGTAAATTATGGTGCTCCAAGGTAGGGTGTGTCCAAAATAGGGGATCAAATTTTTACATTGAAATACATGTACAGGTGACTCTCGAAGTTCAAGGGACTGCAAGAAAAGTTCAAGAGATCGAAGGGTTCAAGAGAAAGAAAGTGAATAAAATCCGAAATTTTCTGTTCCAATCATCATTGCCCTCCTATTATAAATACCGGAAGTATATTTTGATAATGTCATTGCACGTTTTCATTCGTATTTTACAGGTAATTCACTTGATTTCAACTACAATTATCGTATTTTGAATAAATAAAACGATCTCTTTAAGTTTCAATATTTATGTATTATCATTTCATGATTACATGAAACCTGAATAGCAATCATCGGTGTGGCCACCCCCGGGGCTTGATTGGGTCCTTCACCAGATTTTTGGTATTAAACATGTTAAATCGGTATTCAATTCTCGAGATAGGATTTCTCGTGCAATGTTTGTCATACTTGGAATATGTAGACTCTAATAAGACTTCATAATCTATGGAAAATTACTGACACGACTCTTAAATTATTTTCCAAAAATTATCGCCTCGCTGTCTTGAAATTCAAAATAAATTATGAAGCAATTCCTTTATAATTTACCAATTATTTATATCAACACTTGGATGCTCACTGGTATAGTGTCATTTATGTAAACACACAATTAACACCTCCATGCCAGCCCCAGGCGCTCACTGTTATCCAGGTAAGTCCAAGCTGCATTAATTTTACGCTTGATTGGCGTGTACACACGAGCAATCAAAACTTCGAGAGATAGAGAGTAAAAACAATGAAATGTGTGTAACGGGACCCAGGTCTTGGTTTGAGAGATAGAGAACTTCGAGAGATCGGAAGTTCGAGAGATCAAAAGTAAATTTGCTTAGTTAAACGGGACCAGGGGTTCACTTCTAGAGATCGAGAACTTCGAGAGATCAGAGTTCGAGCCATCGAGAGTCACCTGTATATAGGAATAAATCTTTTAAAATCTTGTTCTCAAGAATCACTTGGCAGAGGTGAATATAATGTGGAAGCTTTCTGAAATGCACATTCTAAACTTTTCAAATCATGACTCCTTGGAGTACAGCCACAATAAGGGAAGATTTACATTTGAATGCACTGAAAAAAAAATCTGAAAAGATGTTCTCAAGAACCACTGGGCCAGAAGAGATAAAACAAATGTGGAAGCTTCCTGAGTTGTTATGGATTCTAAACTGTTCAAATCATTGCCACTGGGAGTATAGTGAGGCCACAATAGAGGATCAGAGTTTTGCATTGAAATACTTAGGAACAGAAGAGATGAAGCAAATAAGAATATGGAAGCTTCCTGAGGTGTTGTAGATTCTAAATTGTTCAAATCATGGCCACCAGGATAGGGTAGGGCCTCAATAGGGGATCAAAGTTTTACATTGAAATACATAGGAAAAGTTCTTTAAAAAATCTTTTTCTCAAGAAGAAATGAAATTTATTTGAAAGCTTCCTGAGGTATTGTAGATTCTAAATTGTTCAAATCATGGCTACCAGGATAGATAGGGTAGGGCCTCAGCAGGGGATCAAAGTTTTACATTGAAATACATAGGAAAAGTTCTTTAAAAAATCTCAAGAAGAAATGAAATTTATGTGAAAGCTTCCTGAGGTGTTGTATATTCTTAATTGTAAAAATCATGCCATGTGGAGTAGGGTGGACTACAATAGGGGATCAAAGTTTTACAAATAAAATATATAGGAAAAACTTTTTAAAATGTTCCTCTTAAAAACCACTGGCAAGAAGAGAAGAAACTTGTGTAAATGCTTCCTAAGGTGTTGTAGATTTTAAATTATACAAACATGACCCCCGTGTAGTAGGGTGGGGCCACAATTGAGAATCAAAGTTTGTCTTGGGATTTTGTAGAAAATAAATTTTGAATACCTGAAATCACACCAACATATGCAAATATTCCCAATTTTAGTGGATACATTTTTTTTTTCAAATTATGCACTGTGGGTAAATACAGTAAGATAAAATAGGGATTAAATTCTGAAATGCATGTATTTAGGGAAAGAATTTTTTCTTCTCAATAACTTGAGGTCAATTTAATCATAATGATTTTGAAGCATTCCCATGTTGTGTGGATTCAGGGACCCTAAAAATGGGGCTATAATATGGGGTCACAATTTTTCATGAGAATAAAAAAAGCATTTTGAAAATCTCTAAGAAGAATAAGTGATCTCACTATAACAAGCTACTCAGGTTAGCATTGTGGCCCATGGGCATATGGTTCTTTTACATTTTCAAACTTCTCTTATTATGTCTAGATTTGACCTTTCCTTTCTTAGAAGCCAGGACTGATGTTAAGATTGTAATAAAACAACACCTTGTTATTTCTAAACACCTGTAATTTATTGTCATGGTGTAAATTTGTCTACAGATACCTGTGTTTAATACCAGTATTAATATGGGACTAGAAGGTGCAATCTACAGTAATGCAAGTACTTTGTTATATCCAACAGCTCTTTTTTTGTCGCTTGCAGAGCAGAGCAATTTACCCTTTGTCTGTCTGTCCGTCTGTCACACCCTATATTTCGAAAACTGTAAGAGGTATGGATTTGATATTTTGCACATATCGATATTGCTTGGCACTATGGCTTTTGTAAATTACCATAGTTACCTACCTTATTACCCTTGATCTTGACCTTTGACCTACTTTTCAAAATAGTTAATAGTGCCGATATGCAGCATATTTTTGACATGTAAGATGCAAGTCTATGCTATTTAGCATGTGCACTGTTTTCATTAGACAATATGAAAAATACCAGCATTACAATCCATTCGAACGTGACCTTTGACCTACCGTGCAAAAAATACCCCAAGCAGTTTTATTTAACTCTTGACTTTTGAATTTTAGAGGCAGGATGTTCATGAGCTCATGATACTGTGCTTTGAAACTGTATGATATTCAGTTACACAATATACATTATATTTAAATGCTATGAAAATACATCGGGATCGGTATTCCACAATGGATCTCATAGACTGACAATTGCAGAATCTATTTTGGAGGATTGTTGGACACACATATCAATAAAATGATAAATACTAAATAGTTATTATATCCCACGTAACAAGTTGCAGTGGGTATAATGTTTTTGACCCATCCGTCAGTCCTGTTTTTTGTCAGCGCAACTCCTCTTAAACCGCTGCACAGAATTTCGTCAAACTTTTCAGATATTTAGGACACAGTGTGTAGATATGCATATTGCCAGAAAATTCTGATTCCATTATTTTTCTGGAAATTTCGGCACTTTTCAACTTAGATGTTTGGACATATCTTGAATATAGAGATGAACAGTTTGTCAGTGCAACTCCTCTTCAACCGCTGTGCAGAATTTCATCAAACTTTGCAGATATTTAGGACACAGTGTGTAGTTGTGCATATCCATTGGAATCAACTTTTGTAATGAAATTTGATGTGTAATATTTTATGACCTTAAAAGACCCCTATTGATTTGGAGATCAAAATATTAATGACTCAACACAAGAAAGATCTTGGATAGAAGTACACAAAAAGTTCTCAACATCATTTATCTAGAAACTTCAGCCCAATGAAATTTGTAACATACAAAGATTTGAATGTCCTTATATGCAAGAAGTTTTGATTTGATGATTTTTTGCTAGTAATGCCCCTTTTTGAATAAAGAGCACCATGCCATTCATTATGTGTTGCATTGTCAAGTTTCGGGGGAGCGTGGGGTATGTGAGCTTGCTCACTTTTTCTTTAAATTCTAATAATTTCAATTTAATTATTCATTTGAGGGTTAGGGAACCATATTTTCTTTGATTGTCAGATTCTTTCACAGTCTTATACTATCCATGGATGCCATTTTTTATTTATCTGTAGACAAATGGATGAACTATCATGCTAACAGTGAATAAAAAGCTGACCACGAAGATTTATTTATATCTGTAATGAAGCTACAAAGCAGGTGACGTGTGTTCCTGGGAACACTCTAGTTAATAAATGTGGCAGGATTTCAACCTTTTTATAAGCAGAATCTTGTAAATGATTAGACTTTAACAAGATGTTTTTAAAAAGAAAAAATGTGAAAGAATTAATTTGGGACTTAAAATCATTGCATTGTAAGTGGTACCTTGCTGTAGCCAATTTCGCAATACCTGGAGGGCACTGAAGTGTAGTAATTTTATGTACGTATATACGTAAATACGTATATATATTTTATATATATATATATATATATATATATATATATATATATATATATATATATATATATATGTATATATATATATATATATACACACACTTGTTTTGTAGCTATTTATATCCCCGATTGACAACTCTACCTGAGGAAGTGGTTGGCAAACAACTTGTCCATTTATTGTTGAGCAGATTTGTTTTGCTAGATGCATCAGCTGCCAGTACAATAGTTCCTAATATACTTGTTCCAAAAAGAGGTAAAAGCGACATGGTCTTAATGTACAATAATGGGCATTGAAGTGGTAAAGTGTTTTGTTTGAATGGTATGTTTGGATCTTTCTTATCAAACATCAATTGGTACATTGTGACACATTTATTTCTTTAGAAACGAGAAAGTAAAAGTCGTCACACTATTCTATAAGAACCACACTTTCTGCAACCTGCAACCAGCAAAATGAGTTTTGCTGAGATGGGAATTTTATGAAGTCAGGAGAGAAAGTTAAAGAACCCCCCACTTCTGTAAAACTATATTGCATGAATATGTATATAACCACAAAATTATCATGTTTATTGAAGTTATCACAAGACATGCATACATGTAGATTGAAAAACATGTTTACTCAGTGTTTATGTGGATTAGCTGCCAATCAGGTTGGTTATTAGGTCACCTGAGTCACTCAGGTGACCTATTGCTATCCGTTTTTGTCCGTCGGCATGTGTCATGCGATGTGCGTTAACATTTGAACATTTTTAGCTTCTTCTCTGAAACCGCTCAACCAATTTCAACCAAACTTGGCATATAGCATCTTTGGGGGAAGGGGAACAAAATTTGTGAATTTCATGGTCCCTGTCCCCCTGGGGCCTGAGGGGTGGGGCTAAAACCACCAAAATTAATGAAATCTTTAAAAATCTTCTTCTTTACTCCTGGACATCAAGCAGTCAAACTGTTGGCATGATTGTAATAAGCATTGAGCCCTCTACCAAAATTATGAAATTCATGGCTCCAGGGTCAGGGGTTCCGGTGCTAGGGCGGGGCTATATAGATCATATAGTGAAAGTGCATTATTTCTTTGAAAATCTTCTTCTCTGCTCCTGGGTATTAAATAAAGGAACTAAGTACATAGTTATGATGAGCAAGAGTGCCTCTTCCAAAATATTGAAGTTCATGGCCCCAGGGTCAGGGGTTCTGGTGTTAGGGTGGGGCTCTATTGATGATATAGTGAAAATGCATCAATTCTTTGAAAATCTTCTTCTCTGCTCCTGGGTATTAAATAAACTAACTAAGTACATAGTTATGATGAGCAAGAGTGCCTCTTCCAAAATTGTGAATTTCATGGCCCCAGGGTCAGGGGTTCTGGTGCTAGGGTGGGGCTCTATTGATTATATAGTGAAAATACATTAATTCTTTGAAAATCTTTTTCTCTGCTCCTGGGTATTAGATAAACTAAGTAAGTACATAATTATGATGAGCAAGAGTGTATCTTTCAAAATTGTTAACTTCATGGCCCCAGGATCAGGGGTTCTGGTGCTAGGGTGGGGCTCTATTGATTATATAGTGAAAAAGCATTAATTCTTTGAAAATTTTGTTCTTTGCTCCTGGGTGTTAAATAAACTAACTAAGTACATTGTTATGATGAGCAAGAGTGCTTCTTCAAAAATTGTGAATTTCATGGCCCCAGAGTCAGGGGTTGTGGTGCTAGGGCAGGGCTATGTAGATCATATAGTGAAAGTGCATTAATCCTTTGAAAATCTTTTTCTCTGCTCCTGGGTATTAGATAAACTAAGTAAGTACATAATTATGATGAGCAAGAGTGTATCTTTCAAAATTGTTAACTTCATGGCCCCAGGATCAGGGGTTCTGGTGCTAGGGTGGGGCTCTATTGATTATATAGTGAAAAAGCATTAATTCTTTGAAAATTTTGTTCTTTGCTCCTGGGTGTTAAATAAACTAACTAAGTACATTGTTATGATGAGCAAGAGTGCTTCTTCAAAAATTGTGAATTTCATGGCCCCAGGGTCAGGGGTTGTGGTGCTAGGGCAGGGCTATGTAGATCATATAGTGAAAGTGCATTAATTCTTTGAAAATCTTCTTCTCTGCTCCTGGGTATTTAAAATAAACTAACTAGGTACATAGTTACGATGAGCAAGAGTGCCTCTTCCAAAATTGTGAATTTCATGGCCCCAGGGTCAGGGGTTCTGGTGTTAGGGTGGGGCTCTATTGATTATATAGTGAAAATGCATCAATTCTTTGAAAATCTTCTTATCTGCTCCTGGGTATTTAGTTCGACTAAATATTAACAAAAAATTACCCAGTTTTTACTATACTTACAGCTCTACAAAATCCTTTTCTTCAAAAGCATTTCTTCTTATCATGAATAAAGACATTGCTAAATAAAACTATTTGTTACAGTTTACTTATTGTTTTGAGATTATAGTACTTATCTAGTAAAATGCAGTAAATTCGGGTTTCAAGGTAGTACACAATAGATAGGCCAAAATTTTCCTCAAATCCTATTTTTTTGAAACTTTCAATTGATATTTTGTTCTAGGTTACAAAATCTCTCTTTATATGTAATATGAAAGAAATTTAACCGCACAATTTTTGCCCACATTGTTTGAAATATATTGGCCTATCAGACCTTGTAAGAAGATTGTGAAATCAAATATTCCACTTAAGAATGGCCTTATTTAAAAAATATCAATTGACCAAATGCAAACTTGTGTGATGCTGTTTATAAAGAAAACCTTTTTGTTACTAAAATTTAGTAACTAAAAATATATTGATAATGGTAAATTTGAGTAAAATATGATGTAAAAATAGAACATACATAATCCTGGCATTGAAAAATCACATGTAGATATGCTACACTTTTAAGTCCTCTTAAGAGAAAATGTATATTATTCAATATTTACAAAAAGTCAACAGAATGATTAAAATGGATCCCAAAATATGTCAAAATACGGAAAATTGAACCGGTGGTTTCAGATATTTTGGCAATTAAAAAAAAATTCAATGGCAAAAAACTTAAAGATTCAGTAGATGACGTCACAATATTTGACCTTTGACCTTCATTGTACATAAAGAATGGAGACTCCTTATTAATATTTCCAAATATCAGCCCTCTTTGATTTATGGATCAAAAGTTACTTTGCATTTAATGACAGACTGTTATATCACATTTAGAAAGCATAAACACATTCTAAAATGTAGGCTCCCAAATGACCAATATTTAGGATGTCACTAATTTTTCAACAAAATAAGTCGAAAACACGTCACAGCTTATTAATTTTCTTACAAAGATCATTGATTATTGACAATATAGTGATATTAATCTTTTTTCTTATGTACTTTTCAAGAAATAATGAGTTAAAATAGATTTCATGGGTGTTTTGTGCTACCTTAAAATTATTAGGGGAATTAATAATTACTGATTAGCATATATATTATGATTTGCTATTGTTTTGAATTGAAAATATTTTGAAATTCGTCCTTGAAATACTAAAATCATTACATGAAAGGAGAAGTACACCAAAGATCTTAATATATAGAGGCTGAATATATTAAAGTTTTATATGTAGGGATAAAATAAATCTAGATTTTTTAAATTCTAAAACCTATTTTATTTTGATCTATTATTGAACTTCTGACATCTTTAAGAATATATATGTAGGACTCCAAAGTCCGATGGTGATGCCAAAGTCTGATGGTGTCGCCAAACCCCGATGGTCTGTGCCAAACCCTGATGGTTTGATGTCGGTACGGACGCCAAAGTCCGATGGTCACGCTAAAGTCCCATGGCTCGTTTCCTATGATACACGTGCGTTAAAGTGCCATGGTCTGACATGCCAAAGTCCGATGGTGCCGAGAAACAATTAACGTTTATGACGTCACAATATTCCGACGTCAATCCTCGACGCCATAGTCCGTAATTCAAAACCCATAATTTAGGATGAGTCATCGAATACAATTTGACTGATTTTACTTAATGTTTGAACTCACCTGAGTTATTAGGATTAGTCCTTGCACACCACTTGGCGGATAAGGTTTAGTGATGGGTTGCACCCACCCAAGACATTAAGGGTTAATCCTTGTACACTATTCGATTGAATAGTTTTTGTCTCGCACCCCAAAAGAGGTTTGACTGATTAGGGCAATTTCTCTCCCATCCAGGATATGTTACAGACTTTTTGACGGATTAGGGTTAGCCTTGGACACATCCAAGAGATTAGGGTGACAGCCTCGCACCCATCCAAAAGATTAGGGTTAGCCTCGCACCCATCAGAGAGTTAGGGTTAGCCTCGCACCCATCAGAGAGATTAGGGTTAGCCTCGCACCCATCTGAGAAATAAGGGTTAGCCTTGCAACCCCTTAAGAAATTATGGCCAGTGGTACAATATATTCTTTGCGTTTTTTAGTGAATTATATTACTTTGGGGTTTAAATACTTAAAATTCATTTATTTTAAACCGTTTTACCTTGGCGTGGCGCGGCATCGCAGTTTGGCGCAGAAGTACTATGACGTCATAAACAATACTATTTTTCCTGCGCCATCGGACTTTGGCGTGTGAACCATCGGGGTTTGGCGCAGACCATCGGACTTTGGCATGACCATCGGGCTTTGGAGTCCCATCGCACTTTGGAGTCCTACATATATATTAATTATATTGAATTATTTTTGTTGAAAAATCTGTGTATTCATTTGTGTTGTTGCGTAAGGGTGCTACGCCCCTGAAATATTGCATGTTTAACAAAACATTTGGCAATAATATGGTTTTTTTTAAAAGGGTTTGTATTTGTTCATCATAAGTAATGCAACAATATTCGAGAAAATAAATACCCTTTCTTTTCCATAAGCCATGCCAAAACTTCCTGAAAATGACTTAAGTATGCATTTCCATTGCTCTAGCTAGCTGAAAAATCTCAAAATAAAGGTGATGAAGTTGCAAATGCAAATATATGCACAACATCACGCCTCAACAGGCTCTTGTGTATCATAAGCATGAATGACAGTCCTTGGATCAGAAGTCCAAAGCTTACTACATTGCGCTAGGGTAGAGAAAATTTGACATCATCTGAAAATTTAAAAATGGTGAAGAATATTTCTTTCACTGAGATCTTGAGATTGATGAATCTATTGCATCGTCGAAATCAAGAAGCAATTGTTGTACATGGCAGTCTTGCACGTTGTAATTGAATGGCAGCCACGGGGGGGGGGGGGGGGGGGGGGGGGGGGGTTTAACAGCCATGTGTTACTTTATAAAGTTAAAAAATAATCATTTAACATTTTTACCAAATCTCTGATGTTTTTAAATCAAGTTTTACCTTACTGTATTCATTTTTGAAAATCATTAGATAAAATATTCAAATATTTGTAGATTACTGCTTGTTGCCTTTCTTTTCAGTTTCTGTATGAGAAGAATCTTAAGTAGCATTAAAACTCCAGAGCTTTATTCTATAGATACCCATGAGAAATTTGAAATGAATTCTCAGAGGCTGTCTCCGTTCTTCTCTGTACCAACCTATCAGAGATATGTGATACCAGAGCTGATTAAAATGTTTCACTGCCATGATTACCACATCAGAATGATATTGTTGAACTACTTATCTAAGTATGTGGACCTGTTTGAGAAGAAAAATTTAGAGGAAATCATTTTTCCCCAGGTTAGTAGTAATTTTAGCTCACCTGAGCCAAAGGCTAAAGTGAGCTTTTCTGATCGGAATTTGTCAGTTGCCTGTCGTTATTGTCATTGTTGTCATTAACTTTTCACATTCTCTTCTTCTCCAGAACCACTAGGCCAATTTCAACCAAACTTGGCACAGAGTATCCCTGGGTAAAGGGGATTCAAGTTTTTTTTTCAAATGAAGGGTCACACGCTCTTTCAAGGGAAGATAATTAAGAAATAGTGAAATTCGGGTGGGGTACGTTATTTAAAAATCCTCTTGTCAAGAACCACTAGGCCAGAAAAAAAATGAAAATTATGTGAAAACTTCCTGACATACTGTAGATTCAAATTTGTTCAAATCATGACCTCTGGGGGAAGGATGGGACCACTGTGGGCAATCACAATTTTACATAGGAATACTTAGAAAAAATCTTTACACAGCTATGTTAAGGCTTCCCGAAGCCTAGAATGCGCTCAAAACATAATATGTCATTGCGAGGTTGGTTTTGGTTTTAATTTATAAGTATTGAACTTTAGTACTTCCAATGTATATAGAGGGTTTCCTCGGCTATATATTAACATATTTGTTATGATATCACATGACTTTGTTGATCACTTGACGGTCATTTATAATTTTATTGAAGTGTTTCATATAAATCACTTCGGCGCAGCTGATTAACACAATAATTATTAACATTTTGTAATATAAATAAACTTATTGTATCCTTGTGTGTCCGAAATGTGCTTGGGAAAAGTCATAGTATTACTTAGATACAAAATATTTACTGAGAAATTCAACTTACCTACAAAGAGGGTATTTTCCACACAATATCGTAATCTGTATTAAAACAAAACCAACACACATTTTTCCCAAGCAAGATTCAGTTAGAGAACAACCTCCTCTTACAGATTTCCACAAAAATTCTCAGATTAATCCTCATTAATCACCTGCGCCAGACTCTTTTATACACACAAAATAATTTCTACCTCCAACCAAGGGTATAAAACAGAGTGCATTTCAAAAGTATATTTTTCATAAACATTTTGAACATGCTGAATTTCAATCAAGGGTAGGTAAGCGGTGTATTTTTAAAATATTCGGACATATAAGGCTTAAAAAAACCTTTAACGACCCGTGAATTTTGCAATAGCTATCTAGCATTTTACATGTAGTTTGAAATAAAGTGTAAAGTTCATGACACTCTCCCCGTCATAACACCTCAAGTTTGCAGTGACTTGACGTCATTTTCCATTATGACGTCATATTTTGGTAGTTCAGAGATGTCAACGCACAGAGTGCACTGTGATATTCTACGGGAAGCCTTAACCTACCTGCATAATACACTGTATTGCACTTGTCAATAACAGCAAGGTCATGATTAGTAATATTTAGTTGAAAGCATTCTAAATTTGTGTAGATTCAGGTTTGTCTAAATCATGACTCCCTGTGTTAGGGCGGTGCCAATTAATATGAGCAATCAATGTTTTTCATAAATAGGAAAAATCTTTAAAGAATGATGTGCCGTATGACCCCCAGTAAATTGACAAAAATTCAATGTCTAAATTTTACTCTAATTATACCCCCGCCTCCGAAGGAGAGGGGGGTATACTGTTTTACCCTTGTGTGTCTGATGTCAACTTCCTGTTTATCCGTACATCTGTCAGTACCAAATTTCTGTCACAGTTTTCTCAGCAACTACTCAGCACAGATGCTTGAAATTTTAGCACAATCTTTGTTTAGGCATGCCATGTGGTTGGATTCATTTTTTTTTTTAAATCAAATGTCAACTTCCTGTTTATCCATGCATCTGTCCTTCCCAAATTTGTCTGTCCGTAACAGTTGCAGTTTTCTCAGCAACTACTCACCACAGATGCTTGAAATTTTAGCACACTCTTTGTTAAGGCATGCCATTTGGTGGGATTTATTTTTGTTTGAATCCAATGTCAACTTCCTGTTTATCCGTGCATCTGTCTGTAAAAAATTTCTGTCACAGTTTTCTCAGCAACTACTCATCACAGATGATTGAAATTTTAGCACACTCTTTGTTTAGGCATGCCATATGGTGGGATTCATTTTTGATTAAATTTGATGTCAACTTCCTGTTTATTCGTATGTCTGTCCATACCAAATTTCTGTCACAGTTTTCTCAGCAACTACCCAGCGCAGATGCTTGAAATTTTAGCACAATCTTCGTTTCAGCATGTCATATGGTGGGATTCATTTTTTTCAAATCTGATGTCAACTTCCTGTTTATCCATGCATCTGTCCATACCAAATTTCTGTCACAGTTTTCTCAAAAACTGCTCAGTGCAGATGCTTGAAATTTTAGCACAATCTTTGTTAAGGCATGCCAAATGGTGGGATTCATTTTTGAGTGAATTTGATGCCAACATGAGAGTGTATTTTCACATCAGAGCGGGGAGGGGGGGGGGGGTTACTAGTGAGCATTGACTCACAGACTTCTTGTTTTTGAATGCACTTAATGACTGATATGTGTACCCTAATGGAATACTACTTTTACCAAAAATAGAAACGTAATTTGGAAGATATATATATCTCTATTTTGGGTAAGGGTACCATGTTTACATCCAATTCCCTTTGAATTTTGGCCCCACCCCACTCTTTGAAGTCCTTGAAATATACGAGTGCAAGGAGGTACATTTTTTAGCTGTTAGTGTACATTTTTAAGCGGTTAGAGTATTTGCTAATTGCTTTATGTCATGTAACCAAAGGTCTTGCGCAACCAGTGTCAACACCGAAAGCTTAGTCAAAGCGTTATCTATGATCTGTTTACCATCACAACCTCTACTGCCTTCTGACTCTGACATATCTCTGAGATACCTGAGATAATCACTCGGCTTGAATTTTGGGGGGTCACCTTTGGAGTATAAACTCGTCGGTAAATTCTGCAATCATGATTTTTAGTTTTTAGTTTTATTTTTGGGATTTGAACAATTTTATTTAATTATATAACACCCCTCAGGAACAATTTGTAATTAGTTGACCTAATTATGCCACGATGGACACTTGATGGACAGGTTCATTGCTGACTAAAGGGGTTGAAGTATAATCTCTAAACAGCCAAAGTTTTTTCCTTCTCTTATGAAAAGATTATAAAAGTTCAGCTCACATGGAACATTCTATACTTTTTTATTTTTATAACAAACAAACATAAACAATCACACACTTTTATTTTTGGAAAAAAAATATTTTATGGGAAACTGAAAATAGTAAAATTAATGAAAAAATAATATACAACAACAAAGCTTTATGATAAACTTGATGACTTCAACTTTTCAATCGTGAACTTCCCTTACTTGTGTAGCAATATACCCTTATCACCTGCATATGGGGTTTATGTCTCTCAGTTGATTTGATGTTTACGCAAGAGCATGCTGTACGTATGATTAATTTCTAAAACAAGGCAAACTATTGACAAACAAGTTGATGAAACAAGGATATCAACAGTCTGATTTGAAGTTATCATTTTGCAAGTTTTACAGTCGATACAATGACCTTGTCAGCACCTACATTGAGTCAAATGCTGACTGACATTTTTCGTACTAATTGTTGGGCCAATTTATTTAGACACTGAACTGTCAACGAATTTTTCCGTTTTTTTTTAATCCCCGATCATGACAAGGAACACATGGCGGGTGTGACCTGTCGGCAGGGGATGCTCACTCCTCCATGGCACCTGATCCCTCCTCTAAATTTTGAGGTCTGTGTTTGCTCTGCTCCAAATTTGTATCGTTTCATTGGACTTTCGAGATTGATTACTCTTTGTTATCTTCATATTTCATAGAAAACATACATAAACAATCACACACTTTTATTTTTGGAAAAAAATATTTTATGGGAAACTAAAAAAAATAGAATTAATGAAAAAATAATATAGAAAACATACAAAACTTTAATGGGCTTTGTGATCCTTTTCCAAAATTCATTGACCTTAAAATATGCAAAGATTCAGCTAAGACCTTAAAAAGATGAAGAAAGATCGAGGCATAAAAATTTTTGGCAATTAACAAAGATTTTTAATGTTTATTAATTATAATTTTGAAAACTTGTTAAATGTCTTATGAAAAATATGTTGTAAACATAATTTTAAATTTGTTCAAATTGTTAATTTTGACTTAAATTTATTTTGAGCCTTTGAGAAAAATGAAAAAGAAAAATACAGGTGTAGGCATATTGATAAGAAATTTGCATACTTGTTATCAATAAAAAAAAATATCAATGTAATTTGCTTAGCTAATATATTATTTTGAATATTCAAGTAAGTGACATTGTTTACTGCGAAGGACAAATAAACTGTTTATCAAACAATGAATTTAAGTGTACATTGTGAAGTAAAGTTGGACTAGACAACAACTTTACTTTTCACGTTTTCTTTGTATCAAGAGGATTGCATGAAAAGTATGTGCCAAATACTTGAGTACCTGTCCCTATATATATAAAGCGCAAGACCCTTGTTTTTTTTTGTGTTTTTTTTTTGTGTTTTTTGTTTTTAATGATTGTCATATATCATTGCAAGTTTTGTAAAATGTAAAACTGTCGAACTAAATTTCATACAGTATTTTGTAATAATTTTACAAATTGTCATTTAACCCTTTGTGTGCGGGGACACAATATATTGGGTCTGACGTCACAAACGCTTGCGTGCGGGAACCCAATATATTGGGTCTGAGTTTGCAAGTAGCGCTTCGTCATATAAAACGTCATATAAAACCATATAAATAAATAGTTAATTGTTAAAAATGTATTATAATGTATTATAGAACTACAATACAATAAAAATAGGTAATAAAGATATGGAAATATGCGAATTGTTCGTGAAATATTGATTTAAAGTGAAGTTGTTGGCTTCTGTTACGATGAAAGTCAGTCCGATATTTTTGGAAACAGGGGAAAAACGCGCCTGTAATACATATCAACTGACTTGCTTTCATACGTAGAAAATGGAGGGAAAAAATCCAAAAGATAGTAAAATACCA